TGATTTGCACAGTATGATGCTCATGCATGTCAACTTAGAACATCAATTTCTAAAACAATGTGCATGCGGCTTCACAAGACCAAACTGCTTCCTAGAGGTAGCATTTTACCGTGCTAATGAAATTCCTTTTGGCAACATGATCATTTAATGTTCTCTATCTGTCAACTTTTTGTTAGTGCGTTTGATCATATGCTTATCAAGTTCCTAATCATATGCCCCCTTCTGATTCTGTTTTGGTTCTTCTCCCTTTAAATGTCAGCTCATAGCAGGTTCAGATAATGGTTCGCTAAAACTGTATGACATTGAGCACCTGCCCCCTACAGTTACAGGCATGTATTTAGGTGCTGGTTCAATCACCTTTGATGATTTTGACCAATTGACATCTGTTCACATTAACTCCACCGACGAACTATTTCTTGCAAGTGGATACTCAAAAAATGTTGCTTTGTATGACATCAACTGTGGAAGGCGCATACAGGTGTTCACTGATATGCACAGAGAGCATATCAATGTTGTCAAGTTCTCAAACCATTCCCCATCAATTTTTGCAACTTCTTCATTTGATCAGGATGTCAAACTGTGGGACTTGAGACTGAAACCAATACGACCTTGCTACACTACTTCAAGCTCTAGAGGAAATGTGATGGTGTGCTTTTCTCCTGATGATCACTATCTTCTTGCATCTGCTGTTGATAATGAGGTATTATTTGAATTAATTTACTGCATTTTGAGTGGTCTCGATGCATTTCCATCAAGTTGAATGTTAAACTAGGGCCCCATGAATTGTTTTCCCTTGTGCAGAATCTACCCTTAATGAAGCTGAGTGTTGGTGTACATACAAATTAAAAAATTTCTCCACAACGCCATTTGCTAAAGCCTCTCTTTCTTGTAATGCTAGCCCATGTATTTTTGGTGATCAGCATTTGGGTTGAGCCCCAATTACCTGGGGATCTAATTAGTGCTTACTGCGTATGATTACATGACTTGTCTATTATACTATGTTTGATATAAGAGGAGTAGAATTTATTTATGAGGACGCAGATGTGATTCATCGGGGTTTCAACTTATGGACATGTTTCTTTTATTTCAAGCAATTCTAACAACTAACTTCTTGGTGCTTAATTTATGCACCTTTTGCAATTTGGGCTTGGTGACTTGCTAAATATTCATTTCCCCTCCTTCAATTATAACTCGCGCACTGACTTTATTATTTTTATTATTTTATTATTATTATTTCTGATATTTAATAGAATTCTGGTCACTCCTTTTAAGGAAATTAGTGTAGTCCTGAGATTAACAAGTAGAAATGTATCAGGTTCGACAACTTTTGGCTGTTGATGGGAGGCTTCACTTGAGTTTTGACATAGAGCCTACAGGAAGTTCACAGAATTACACCCGTTCCTACTACATGAATGGAAGGGATTATATTATAAGTGGGAGTTGTGATGAACATGTGGTCCGTGTTTGCTGTGCTCAAACTGGAAGGCGTCTGAGAGACATATCCTTGGAGGTACATCCATATTTTCATTTAATGTTTTATATTAAACTCTTAAATGTTAAACACAGTTTTTGATTGGGATGTGGAAGCATATATAATGACAGAAATGCTATGGAGTTATTGATATTGGATTGTATTTGCCTAGGGAGGGTCGCATTTTCCTGGAACTTGTAAAATGAGCATTTGTTGTTTTCTTGCAGGGGAAAGGTTCAGGGACTTCAATGTATGTGCAATCTTTGAGGGGTGATCCTTTTAGGGTGAGTTTAGTTTTGCTACTAATTCTTAACTTGATTTTGGTCATTGAACTGTAGATTTGAAAGAAAAAAAATAATTTCACAGCCCTTTCAGTTTTTGGATTTTAAGCAATATATTGTTGTGGGAATTTTACCTCATTAAACATCTATGTTCTTTTTTATTTAGTATTATTTTACTTGTTGCTGAAAGTTCTTTTTTAGCTGCCAATTTTTACTTTCTCTGCTTGGTTTCTACCCCACTCTTCTGGTTGGTATACTGTTAAACTAGTAAGCTGAGGCTTGCGCATTGTGGAATTATTAAGTGAATCTCAATTGTGTTTTTTATGCCCTTGTACACAGGATTTCAACATGAGTATATTGGCAGCTCATATGCGTCCAAACTCGAAGTATGAAATTGTTAAGGTATGATCACGCCTTGCTCTTCATTCTTTGTAATTTGAAGTTTGTTGCCTGTTTCCCTTTTCCTTTTAAGATTTTATAATTCTAAGGTAAAATTTGCAGATCAATTTGCTAGCATCTTGTGACAATGCCAAAGGATACTCTAAAAGCCAGGATTCCTGCCCATCCAATAGCATGGGAGGTTGATGTGTGTGTGTGTGTGTGTGTATTTTTGTATACAGAAAATGTACATCTTTTATATTCTTTCCATGATTGAAAATGTATATTAACAGTCGCTTATAAATGTATCTTTGATATGCCTTTCCCAGTGTAATTAAACAATTCTAGCATAAACAGTCCAGGTTATGATTTTTAACAGAAGAACCCAAGGCACTATAGCGTCTGTGATTTGATTTGCGCATTTGGGATCTCAGCATCTTAATTGTTTCTTACACAACTATAAAAAACTGGAAGTATTTTGATGTTATAAAATAAAGTAAACTAGAGCTCGGCTGCTTGCGGGCCAGCCGAATAGGAATTTCTTTTCACCGTAGAAAAATAAATGGGCAAGCATAGTCGATGCATGTATTATTCTACTAAAATAAAATAAGAATTATATAAGTTAATAAATGTAAAAAATAGTTGTCAAAGTTATTCTAAGATTCAATCATGAAATTGGGAGATGTAGACTTATTTATTTTTCTCACTTTATTATATGACAATTGAATATTGAATGATTTCTAATGAAAAGACATCTTGGATTTGTCTATTTAATTATACTAATTAATAAAATTTAAGAAATAAATGAAGGACCGTGGAAAAAGCATCTGATAATATCAAAGAACTTATTACAACCTTGTTTGAAAATAAATTTGAAACCGAAAAGCATTCAATGAAATAATATCCCAAATACTATTATAATTATTTTAATGGATCCTATATAAATTCTTTTTTAAAAAAACTTACACCCTCACACGCCAAAAAAACTCTTTACGGCAGCTTAAAACCATTAATTTAATGGAGGGAATCTGGACAGCTCGACAATATTAAGATATAGAAAGAAGGGTGATATTACTGATCATGGGCTCATGACAACAACTTAGTGAAGGAATATTTGAAGCTTTTGCTCATCATGCAATGAGCAAAGGCATCAAGCCATCAACACGAGATGCTATGCATACACTGTACGTAGGATGGGAGCCAGCACATCTAGGAGAGTTTAGATGCTACATTTTACTCTCAATTTTTTAAACATGTGCTGTTTTTAACATAAAATATGCTACCAGACAAAAGTTACTTTCGATTACACCATTCCCTCGCAATTTTTCTTTTTGGATTCAAGGAAATATTACCTTATAAAAGATATATTTTATAAATTTATGTGAGCAAATAAAACCTTAGTTATTCTAAATTTTTATAAAAACTGTATGTTAAAATTTGAACTTGAAATGTACTATATAATTCATTATTTATGAGTTGTGGAAAAATACAGTAAAATTATGATATTTTTATTTTTTGACATGTAAACTAAAATATTTATTATTTTTTTTAAATTAATATGAATATTCAGAATAGCTTGTATGTACTTTAACTAATTTTACAAGTTTTAAAATTAACAGTTATACAAATCTTTAATAACTTTAAAATTTATAAGACTTCAATATCTAAAAAACAATCTAGGAGTTTTATCAATAAAACTATACCTCTTATGATATTTTATTTCTTTAATATGACGAAAATTACTATGCAGCAAGACATGAATTAACATGGATTGCACCGCTCCCATGCACTGCAATCCACATTGTTCACAAGGTATGATAAAGTTAGATGTGATTATTGAAGTTTTCATGTGTTTAAAAATTTAAAAATTAATAATTATATAAATTTTTAATAAATCTAAAAAATATTATATTTATTAATTTCTAAAAAAAAAATATTTTGTGGCTAGCAACTTAATATATATGTGTATGTGGTCTTTTATATGTTCAGCTTTTAATGGCTATGATTAAACTGGTATATCTCTCTACATTTCAAGATTCTCGTTTTTTCCCTCTTCTTATAATTAATTAAATTAATTTTTTTTTTTTACTAGTCTCTGGAATCATGTTTTACGTTTATCTTTGTCGGAGATTATAAGCTTATATGCTATAATAAAAGTAATACTAATAATATTTTAACTAAAAGGTTTTTATTTTTATTTTTTATAGTCTCATACAGTATAATAAGTTGCACCTTACAACTCAATTAATACTCTAACTAGATTAAAATATTGGATGATCAATGTAGAATCTTTTTAGTCCGAGAATCAATGCTAATTATTCAATTATTCAAAGATAATTGTTTTTTAAAATATATTAAAATAATGTATTTAAAAAAATTATCTTTAATATCAGCATATAAAAAAATTAAAAACTCAATTTTCTATAATTTTTTTAAAAATGCTTTTGCAACATAAAAATAAAATAAATATTAATCTATATAACTAAATCAATTCATATAAACTGTTAATATAGAGAGTAGTAACGTTTATATATGGACATGGCAGGTTAGTAGAGTAGTAGGGGTTGATTTGTTGATTGCCGATTGGCTAAAACAAAGACACCGACAGATATATGCATACCAAGAAGGTACTGACTGTACTGTTCTATAGTAGTTGGGTCCTTGCTGGACAGGCCTTTCGTACCCAAAGCCCATTAATAAATAAATAAATAAACATCATAGAAAAGATAAGCTTTCAGATCAGCCCAAATTTCTAAAACTGAGGCTATTATGTGGGTCTGAACTTGTCAAATGGACCTCACCTTGAAGTGAAGGACCTGGCCCAAGCCCGACACTGGATCAAAACTGTATGCATTAAGCCATTTCTAGCCGAAGTGCAGCTGTCCGAGCAAAAAATCTCACTTGCATTTCTTTCAATTTCCCATTTTTAAAAATTCGTGTCGTGCAAGCGAGAGAGATCTCCCGAAATCATCCAACAATGGCAAACCCTAACGTTCAAGAGATTATAGAGAAGCAAGTACTTACTGTAGCGAAGGCAGTGGAAGACAAGATCGACGAAGAGATCGCAGCCTTAGATCGTCTCGATCTTGACGATATAGAGGCATTGAGGGAGAGACGCTTGCAACAAATGAAGAAAATGGCGGAGAAGCGTAGCCGTTGGATCTCTTTAGGTCATGGCGAGTACACTGAGATTCCATCAGAGAAGGATTTCTTCTCTGTTGTTAAAGCTAGTGATCGTGTCGTTTGCCATTTCTATCGCGACAATTGGCCTTGCAAGGTAATACTGGAAATCATTATCACTTTCATTTATATAGTTAAAGAAATTTTTTTTATTGATGTTTTAGTGTTTTAAGGAATTTCATTGTTCTTGTAGGAATTAAAATCTTGGAATTTTGAGTTTTGTGGGTTTTATTTAGCAAGTTTTGCAACTTTTTTTTTTATGGGAGTGGATGTTCAGTGTTTTGCTAGTCTTTGTTTCTTGACATGGGCTGCGAAGGGCAATTTATAAATAGGATTGTTCTTAATCAGAGTTAGAGGTTCCCTGATGCCAGAACTATTACCTGTTGTGTTTTATATACTGATTCAAATGCTTACGCAGTTAGTTCTCATTTAAATAGCAACATAATACCGTCGCTTAATTGCTTGATCTTGCCAACATTGTATTGATAATTATGCTAAAGAACTCCTAACTACTTTCTAGCTATTCGGCATGTTATGAGCTACTTTGCGTGTGAAAGTGATATTAGTATTGCCTTTACATAAACTGGGAAAATGGGAGATTTAGGAGAAGTTTTATGCTTACAGTTCATTTGCAGGTGATGGACAAGCACATGGGTATACTGGCAAAGCAACATATAGAGACACGTTTTGTGAAGATTCATGCTGAGAAAAGTCCATTTTTGGCTGAGAAACTCAAGATTCTTGTTCTTCCAACACTTGCACTTATAAAGAATGCCAAAGTAGATGATTATGTGGTATGTTATGCATGCATATAGCTATGTGTTGTTGACTAAATTCACTCCTTTTTTCTGCTGTTCTGAAAGTTAGACTGCCCTGTTTTTATTGTCCAGGTGGGATTTGATGAGCTTGGAGGGACAGATGAGTTTAACACAGAGGATTTGGAGGAGAGATTGGCTAAAGCTCAAGTAATATTTTTCGAGGGTGAATCATCTCTAAATTCATCTAAATCAAGTGCACAAACCAGGAGGAGCGTGCGACAAAGCGAAAGTCATGACTCTTCAGATTCAGATTAAGTCATAGTAGCCTCATTTTGGTACAAGGAGATTTTAATCCTAGTCTCGTAGAGCATGTGTGTTACAATCTGCAAATTGAGCCACAGCTCATTTGACTGCCATAGCTGTGTTGTTCGGTTTGTAGAAAGCAGATCGGATATTCTATCCTTAAGCTTTATGTTGTACAAGTCTATGAGTCTCAGCTGCTATATTGGGGTGGCATTGTCATTTGATTCTTGTATTTGATATAAACCTTATCGATTATTCCATATTTTGAGATCCATGTTGTCATTGGGCGTCATCCAGTGGATGGGATTATGGCGCTGTCAACTCTTGTACTATTTGTTGTCTTGGCTGAATTTCTGCTTCCAGATGAAATTCACCAAAGCATTAATATTATGTATGATATTTTGCTTTGATGCTCCTATTTGCAAGATGCAATATATTCACTGCTGATGCTTGCAAGCAGAGCACCTTTTTTCCAGTGGGTCTGTAGTCCAGTATTAAAAGCACACAGCAAGCCCAGTAATTGTAAGTCAAAGGCCAGCTCAAAGTCTAGATTAACAGGCCCAAATGCTGATACAAGTCTTTATTAATATTGATTTATTTACCTTCCATGCCTTCATCTCCCGCCATCTGCAATTACGCTACTATCAAAATTCGAAACGTCCTCACTGTCCACTCCACTCCTTTAAGCACGTCTCTCTCATTCTGTTTCTCTCTGAGTCCGGTCATCTAACATCAGGTAATTAATTTCTCCTTTAAGCCTTTCGTGGTTATTCTAGATTCTTGTCTTTCTTCAGACCAGAACCTCCTGTCGATGAGCGTGTTCTAAGGGAGCATCATATTTGTTTGCCACTTTGTGGGCTTTTATTGTGTTTTCTTTGTTTTCGTTCTGTTCTTTTGGCAATGGATAATGAATTCAGGACATTATATAACCTGTAGTGAGTTTTTTTCGTGTAGACTCCTAGTTCAGGATTTTTCATGTGCGTGTGTGATAGGTGAACCATGAGAAAGAATGTAGGGTTTTTATTAAATTCCTCTTTGAAACTTGGATATCTCTCCAATTTTTTCACTGTAGTTGCTAGTTAATTTCTTCAATTTAAAACTTTGCTATTTCTTGGTGATCATTTCTCTTGTTCAGATTTTGTTGCTACTTCTTCTAAGCATTTCTTATTATTATTGAATCTTCAGACCGGCTAGAAATTTTCAGAACCCAATTGATCTGTTGGGCTATTATGATAATCGAAGCCAGTGTTTTATTCTCTTACTCGCTGTTACAAGCTCATTCTCCACTTTCGTGTTGCTGTCATCATTAAAATTAATTAAATGATATTAAACTGATCTATAGGAATTAGAATGGTAAATCTTATTGTTTTAGGTTCGTCTGGTGATTTTACATTTCCTTTTAATCTTAGCCATAAAGAGTTGTTCCACAAGTTGTCCTTCGTATTGTAATATCAAGCAACGCTGAAGACCATTAATTCAGTCTATTTAGTATTTATATGTTTTAACTAGTAATGCAAGTTGGTTGGATGCTTTATTCTTTTTCCATCACGACACCTAGACTTTAGCTGAATATGACTGTTTTGGTGGAAGCAAAACCCTGCGCTTTTCATTGATATCAAGTTGAATTATTGATTACCTAGATACACGACTAGGCGTATCTTTTTCCTCCTTTCTTTCAAATGAAGTAGAGAACCGTGTTGAATGCTTGTGATCCTTGCATTAGATGCTTCATAGACAGAATAGAAACATCTTTGTATCATCTGAGAATGGTGCTACATGAATTATTTGTGAAAATGGTGTCAGCCAGCTTGAACTGATAATGAATTTCAATGTTGGCTGTTGTCCCCCGGAAACAATGATCGTAAAACAGAGAAAAGAAAAGACAAGGTTCCTCTATTATTGTTTACTTTCATGAGACAATGGCTGCGAAAGCAAAAATATAAGATGTCCCTTTCTGTATTCTTTTGCCAGCATCATTTTTCTTGCTTTGATTGCATACAAGATTTACTTTGCGATTTGTGTCCCCCCATTTTATCCATTTTGCCGAGTAATCTTTTAATTTTATTGTTATGCAGGCGTGCCTAGTTGAAACTGCTGGGCGAGTCCAGAGCTCTTTCTTTGGTGTAGGAAACAGAAACATGGAGATTTATTCTGAGAGTTCACGTGATGGGAATGGAAAATGGGATAAGCACTGGTGGGGGAGGCGTCGGCGATGCAGAGTAAAAGTGCACAAGAACCGCGTAACTAAAGAAATCACGACCATTTGGAGCACTTTCAGTGAAAAATATCTACATGCCAACAAATGCTATGGAGCTGGAACTTTTGCAACCTAGGGTCTAGAACATATTCTACTTAGCTGCCTGGTTGACCAGTGCTTTCTCATCTAATTGTCATTTTGATCTATATAAATGGCCATGTATGCTGCACGTATAATGCATTTTGTTGATGCTTGATTTGTTTCTGGGATTTCTTTCAAGCAATGAAATCATGTCATCTCTGTGCGATGTATTGGTATCTAAAAATTATTATAAAAAGCCTTCTGTCTCTATAAACCGTGAGACTCTTTGCAGCATAATCAAACAAGATTGAACTTGGTACCAGACGACAAGGCTATAGCCTTTTAATTCAGAAAAAACCTGATACTCAAAATGAGTCTTCTTATGGATTAAAAATGTATGCAAGCTGCTACCTGAGTCGCTATTGCCTTCATTACTAGGAGCCTGTTTGGAAATATAGTTGTTGTTGTTTTTTAAATAGCTTTTTGTGTTAAAATGCATGCTAATGATGTTTTTTTATTTTTAAAAAATTATTTTTGACATCAGCACATCAAAATAATTTAAAAAACCTAAAAACATATTAATTTAAAATTAATAAAAACATAAAAAAAATTTAAATTTTTCCAAAAACATTTTTAAAACACAGAAATAAACTGCATTACCCATGCGCTCCTCCCTTCTCTACCTGCAAGACTGCATATGTGCGTTAAGTTATTCCTGCGACAAAAAAAAAAAAGGTTTAGATTTTCACGAAAACCTTATTTTGCGAAATTATCAGACTTTCACTCTCAATAAAAGCAGAACATAAAATGTTGTGGAAAACCTGGACACGGGGGTTTGTCATTTGAATTTTTTTGCTTGCTTGATATAAATCCTAAGACTACCCTTTTCAGCATAATTATAGGAGGGAAAGAAAAAAAAAAAAAAAAAAAGACCCTGCCCACCTTTTTCTCAGGCCAGCCACCGGCAATGGCGCTGATATCAAAATCGACCTTAACTCCACTTTCTTAAATACGTCTTCTGTCTCTCTTTGAGACTTTATATCTTCCTTAGTCACCAGGTATTTTCTTCTCTCTTTACTTCACCCTAACAGAAATTGCTTCGGTTACTCTATATTCTTACTGTTATTGCTTAGACCAGAACAACGCTCGTGCATATGACAGTTAAAACAAATGGTAGGGCTGTCAAATTACTTAATTTTGCATGTCAAGCTATGAAAGGAATGAAAATATCATATGTTGATATGTGGATTAACAGAGCAGGTGAAATATTAAATATGGATGCTTGGCCCTACATAGAACAAGAGCCCTGCATTTTTCGTGTGTGTGTGTAATTAAACAGAAAAGAGAGGGTGAAAGGCAATTACAAATCCTCGGCTCAATAACCAGAGGTTATGAAAACCACAGCTTGCAACAAGTGTGAAGAAATTTTGATTTCTCCCCTCCACATTTACTGGTAAATGACCTACTTATGATCATTCCTTGGAAATACTCACACCTGCAACAACGTTTGAAAAAAATTGCAATGCTAACAGCACTAGCTAAAAACATAAATGAAAGTAAAAACGCACAGGTTCCTCCTTTGTGCACGTGTGTGGTGATAATCGGACGGAAAAGGAAAAGGACGAGATAATATACTGCTGAAATATAATAAGGTATTCTATTACACGTAAGGAAACTATCTATCCCCAGGAGCTCAATTGGACTATACTTGCATCTCACTTCCAGCCTCTTCATGTTGAAAAACAAATTTTGAATATTTACAATCCGAAGCATCTGAAAGAAAGCACCTTCAAGCAACTTGCTCATCTTCACAGGGATCATTTTCTTCATGGCTTGTCAAGGATAGAAGTTCCATCAGCTCCATTCGGTGCTCAAGACCTCGAAGGTAGTGCCCCAAAAGCATACACCTTGAAGAATAAAAGACAACGGATGTAGTAGTGTATTAAAATCTGTTGCCAGGGGGGAAATGCAAGCATCGTGAAAAAAGAGTTCAATGAGAAAGCCTAACCAGAAAAGTAGACGCGCCAGATAGTCCCTAGTCAATGAAATGAGGGGCTGGAAATGAAGTGAGGTGTTCTCCACAAGTTCAGCACAATCACCTCCAATATTTAGTGATCCAGTTGATGTGTTATCTGATTGCGGAGGAGTCTTGGAATGCATCTTAGGAGAAAGGGTTGCAAGAAGGCCATGGACCACAGAATGAATGGTTTCTTTTAATTCAGGGGATGTGGGTTCTGATAACTCAGCAACCTGTTCATGTTAAAACCATATATTAGCAGCATATCTAAAATAAGTCAAGCAGTTCATTGCTTGAGCTGGTCTTATATTATATATAATTTAAGAACTCGGCTAAACACAAGTAGAAAGAACACCTGTGCTCCAGTGGTTATCAAAGAACAAAAAAAAATCTTCGTAACGTTGTTCTCATAGCAGATTCATATGAACACTTTGAAAATATAAAAACTCGTGTAGGAACATGTAGCTACAGTTAAGATTGCACTAGTAGGGACAATGTTAAACCAAAAGCTGTAAATCTACACTTTACACACACACACACACACACCCCAACATAATTAGAGTTAAAAGTGGGGTTATGAACATTGAAATTAGTGTAAGGAATTGCAGGATCAGAGAGATGTTTGTGGCTTTAAAATCTATGGGCAACATTATGTCTACTGAAAAACGCCTTACCAAACACTTGGGGGAAGAACCAAAAAATAAAATATCATTGCACATCAAATTCTCGGAAACAGGACTGACATTAAGAAAATAAAACTGGATGCTAGACAATAAAAATAGCTTTACACTCGGTACAGTGGCAAAAGAAGATGGTAAAAAAGAAAGAAAGACATTGAATATTAAAACTGCTAACTATTGGAACAGTTATCAAAGAAAACTTTCTTAGCTTATTCTGATGAAAAACCAGGAACATCAAGAAATTTTACATATCAGAAAGGATTGTCATATAGAATCACCACTTTCATGTGCTGAGCCATTTGCAAGTTTTTTCAAACATTATAAACAACAGCAAGACCTCACTGGTACTTTACTAAGAGCATTAAACCCTGTCAACAACCAGTTTGATACAAAGCATGCAATCACTGCATCTGATAGTGGAAATCATCTTATGTGAAGCAT